CACCTCAGCCTCCCAAAGGCGCGGGATTACAGGCTGAGCCACCGAGCCCGGCTGAGGACTACTATCTTAACACAGAAGCTGGGTGCAGTGGCTCATGCCTGTAACCCTAGCACTTTGGGACGCAGATGCAAGATTACCAGAGCTCAGGGGTTTGAGACCAGCCTGAGCAAGATGGCAAGATCTCGTCTACACAATAAATAGAAAAATCAGCTGGGCATGGTGGCACATGCCTGTGGTTCCAGCTACTAGGAAGGCTGAGGTGGAAGGATCACCTGAGTCCAGCAGGCAGAGGCTGCGGTGACCATGAGCGTGGCACTGCACTCCAGCCTGGGCGACAGAGTGAGACTCCAACTCAAAAAATAAAAAAATTAACACAAAAATAAACTCTTATGCTCCCTTTCTGTACAATTTAAAGCTGAACACTGAACAATTTTTTATTCCATTAGTTACTTTATCTTGATTGCCTTTGTTTTATGTGTTTGAAGAGTCTTTGATAGATCAATGGGGGATGTTTGCACTCTCAGTCACTGAGGCCACAATTTACACTTGCCCCTGTTCTTTTCCTAACCTAATACGGTGTATGTAGCACTCAACAAATACATGAAGTTCGGTGCCCTCACTTATGGTCACGACTTTACAGCCACCACCAACTACAGGCCTCAATTCACAAGTTTTAAATAAATCAATCCTTTTTAATAAGAACTAAAAGCAACAAAGAAGAATGTGGCTTACCTAAAAAGTTTCGAACAAGGCTGATGGTTATGGATTTCTGTAATTAGAAAGAGGAAATACATTTCAGTTAATCATGAAAGAAACAGACAACTATAAAACAGCTCATGGTTTTTTGGTTTTGTATTTTTAAGCCAAAATCTAAGACAATAAAAAGACAGTTTTCCTTTCCCAAACAGGTACTACATGTATACCGCTGAAGACAGTGTGAGGTCTTAACATTCACACTCAGGGACACATTCTCAAAACAAAGCAGACTGGAGAATGAGAGACCTATTTCCAAGTGTCCATGTATGATGAGCACACATCTGAAAGCTTCTATTCAGGAACATGCAGCTATTGTGTGCCTTGTTCAATCTTACCTATTTAAACAGCATAATAGGAGAAAGTAACCAAGGACTAGAATCATTTAATCAAGTTAGATAAAAGCTGTGAGGACAGCCTGGGGAGAGAAGGGCCTTAACCATCCTACCATCAATAACCAACTCACAACTCATGACAACTTGGGCCAAGCATTTTGAAAAAGAAGGAACTCTGGAAGTCTATTAACTCTTTCAATGATGATCAGTACTGAGGGAAACAGTCATTCATAAAGCAGATCACAACAATTTCTGAAAAGCTGCTATGATTAAGCACAGTGAACAATTTTTTTCAAGCTCATCAGGGAGCTTAGGGTCTGGCTTTTTTATAAGACCATGAGACTATTTAATTCCATTAATCACATTCTTCTAGAGAAGGACTCATCACCTGCTATTGTTTTTAAAAAAAGTCTCAGAGTTCTAGGTTGTAATTTTAATTCAATTAAAATGAAACTCAGCTTTGAAGAACATGGGATCATGCCCATTAGCTTCTGTATTTGTGTTACTGCTGTCAAAACACATGCACAAATGCAGTATTTCCACAGAAAAGTTAATTTGCCTAGCTATGCAATAGGAAAACCTCATCTAGGCTGGTGCAAAGGTAGTGAGTTATCTTGGTTGATTGTTCAGTCAATTACAGATCGAACTCCTTGTTCTATTCTTTTCTCCCTTTCTCACTACTGCACTTGATCAGCCTTTAAAAAAAAAAAAAAATAAGGCCGAGTGCAGTGGCTTAGCCTGTAATCCCAGCACTTTGGGAGGTGGAGGCGAGAGGATTGTCTGAGCCCGGGGGTTCGACACCAGCCTGGGCAACTTGGTGGGACCCCATCTCTACAGTAAATCACAAAAAATAGCCGGGCATAGTAGCATGCATCTGTAGCTCCAGCTACTTGGAAGGCTGAGGCAGAAGGGTTGTCTAAGCCCAGCCCGTCGAGGCTGTGAGTGTGCCACCGCACTTCCAGCCTGGGAGACAAGAGTGAGACTCCAACTCAAAAAAAAAAAAAGAAAGAAAGAAAAAGAATGAAAAAGAAAAAACCCAAACCATAAAATAATAATAACAACAATTTTAAAAAAGGTAAGAATATGTTGTTTAATGAAATCCCTAGAGTAAGTTTTGAACTCTGCATACTCCTGTTACCAATCCATTCTAGCAATTTCTTTCATAATTTACAACCCAGATTAAAGCACACAAAAGACATGTTCTAGATATCACGTGCTATTTTCTGAAGAATGCTAAAGTTTTCAAAGATGTTTTGCAATACTAAGCACTTCATGGAATCAAAAGGGTGATGTTTCCAAACACGAAAAACTACAGGTCAGAATTAAGTTGAAGGACACGTTAACTGACAGGTGGACCTTTGAAAGCAGGCAGAGGCTAAGTAGCCTTGCCTGGGATCTCCAGTTTCTTGTTCCTCAATAGCTCTTCTATACTGCCGAATTCTCTTCATGTACAACTGGCCTCTCTGCACACATTTTCTTAAAAATCTCTCCTGGGTGGTACTGTTCTTATGGCCTCTCTTTCTGGTGAGCAGGTTGAATATCTCTTCTCCTTACGCCTCCATTGTTTCCAACAATTGTAACTGCATCACCTCATTAACCAAGGATACTTTTTTTGTTGTTGCCTTTTCCCCACCACTAATAATATGTATTGAAAACAAGATGAACACATTTCATGTCCAAAATGTGATATTCTATATGAAGTCCTTTTTATTGCAGAGAGTGAGGTAAAAATGTCTGTGCATGGAGTCAGCATTTTCAACAAATAATAAATTTATAATTTTATTCTAGAGGTTAAGTTACGCCCAAAAATCTTTTCGCATTACAGGTAGTGAATACTACTCATGGCACCTTACCTAATGCTTGATCATTCTTTTTTTCCTTTTTATTTTTCCTGAGTTGGAGTCTCACTCTGTCTCCCAGGCTGAAGTGCATGGCCACCACAATCCTTCCGCCTCAGCCTTCCAAGTAGCTGGAACTACAGGCGCGCACTACCACGCCTGGCTAATTTTTAATTGATTGTAGCGACGAGGTCTCGCCAAGTTGCCCAGGCTGGTCTCGAACCCCTGAGCTCAGGCAATTCTCTCGCCTCAGCCTCCCAAAGTGCTGCACCTGGCTGTTGTTTGACTTTTCAACCCAAGTTTTCCAGAATCCTTGGTTTATGTTTTCAAATATTTATTTTTAAAATAAAAATTTACAATGATAATGACACATTTAAGATAGTATCAAGCCGGGCTCGGTGGCTCAGCCTGTAATCCCGCGCCTTTGGGAGGCTGAGGTGAGTAGATTTCCTGAGCCCGTGGGTTCAAGACCCGCCTGGGCAGCGAGAACTCATCTCTACAATAAATCAAAAAATCAGCCGGGCGTGGTAGCACACGCCTGTAATTCCGGCTACTCGGAAGGCTGAGGCGGAAGGATCGCCGGAGCCCAGCAGGTCGAGGCTGCAGTGGCCGGGAGTGGCCACTGCACTCCAGTCTGGGCGACAGAGTGAGACTCCAACTCAAAAAAAAAAAAGATAATATCAGTGGCCAGTGTCGGTGGCTCAGCCTGTAATCCCAGCACTTTGGGAGGCCAAGGTAAATGGATTGTCTCAGCCCGCGGGTTTGAGACCAGCCCAGGCAACTTGACGAGACCTCATCTCTACAATAAATAAAAAATTAGCCAGGCATGGTGGCATGCACCTGTAGTTCTGGCTACTTGGAAGGCTAAGGCAGAAGGATCACCAGAGCCCAGCAGGTGGACGCTGGGGTGGCAGTGAGTGTGCCACTGCACTCCAGCCTGGGTGATGGGAGTGAGACTCCAACTCAAAAAGAAAAGATAGTATTAGCAAACTCTTTATGAGATCCATACTCATTTCAATCAATGAACTGATGCTAATAAATTAAAGATTATACAACAAAAGATGGTTGTCATGGGACTGTATTAAATGGGACTCTATTGATTGTTATTTCTTCATAGCTACAATATCACTAAAACTGGTATTTATGCCAGGCTCAGTGGCTCAGCCTGTAATTCCAGCACTTTGGGAGGCTGAGGAGAGTGGATTGCCTGAGCCTGCGGGTTCGAGACCCACCTGGGCAACTTGGCGAGACCTTGTCTCTAAAATAAATAAAAAAAAAATTAGTCAGGCATGGTAACGTGCACCTGTAGTTCCAGCTACTTGGAAGACTGAGGTGGAAGGATTGGTGGAGCCCAGCAGGTCGAGGCTGAGGTGGCCAGGAGCATGCCACTGCACTCCAGTCTGGGCAACAGAGTGAGACTCCAACTCAAAGAAAACAAAAACAAAAAACTGGTATTTACTGCAAGAACCAGGCAGTTTATGAATCAAAGAATCAGGCTGGGCGTGTTGGCTCACACCTATAATCCCAGCAGTCTGGGAGGCCAGGTGAGAGGGTTGCCTGAGCCCATGGCAACTTGGTGAGACCTCATCTCTACAATAAATCAAAAAATTAGCTGGGCATGGTGGTGCATGCCTGCAGTTCCAGCTATTAGAAGGTTAAGGCGGAAGGATCACCTGAGCACAGCAGGTCGAAGCTGCAGTGGCCGAGAGTGTGCCACTGCACTCCAGTCTGAGCGACAGAGTGAGACTCCAACTCAAAAATAAATAAATAAATAAACAAAAATGAATCAAAGAATCAGTATTTATGCTACGTAGCATTTTAATTATTTTACCATTCTATTTCCTTAAAAGTAAACAGCCAGGATATTAATCAGAAACACTATTTTTGTGATTATGCCAGATAAGAGAGCTCTTTCTTTCATGGTTTGCTGTCAGTTAACTGCATCTGGCAATTTAACCGTCATCTACCAGATTAGTTTTGAAAACCCAGGTGCAAATAATAAAGAGCTGTACAGATGTCCTATGAAACAAAATTCGGTTTTAGAATTTTAAAGAATTAAACAAAACAAAACCAAAAACACCCTCAATAAAAGACTAGTCATAGGCTGGCTATACACGTATGAAACCTTTACTTAATAAGTCAATAATGTGGTTAGTGGGTTTTATTGTGTTGATCCTTTGGCAGACAGTTCAATTTCTCTTTTCCTTCAGTCCCACCTCCACCTCAAGCCTCGCTCTTGTCCTCCAGTCCATATACTAGAAACCTATCAGAACAGGCTTGATCTGGTTTCCCAGAGGGACAACAAACAAATAAACGAAAAGACTTACAATTGATGATTTGCTCCAAACACGACCTAACCTGCCAGCAGTATTTCAAACTACAAACCACTGATCATCACATATTCTGCATTTTAGTCACCCAGAGACGGGCCAGATTCCATGTTTTATGCAGTTCATGCTCTGTGCTCCCCTGAATGTACCATCCACTGGCCTTCTTACTGACAACCTTACTGATTTCCCCACTAGCAGTTTTTTCCTAAACTTTGAATACGTAGGAGATTTTCTTTATTCCTTTTAGTACAGCACTCATCTTGCACTGTCTTCAGACCTGTCTTATCCTCCCCACAGTTATGGAAGGTAGGGATGATTCTGAGTCTTCCTTTCACTGCCCAACACGTCTTACACATGGAAATTATTCAATAAATGTTTGCTGCATAAATAAATGAAATGTCCCTTGCTTTGCTCTGAGTATGTGCAGTTTGATGACCTCTGCCTGAGGTACACCTGAAAGGACTATGATCTCTATTTATCAAAAGGACTCCTTTTTCTTTCCCAGCTATCTCCCCCAAAGTAATTATTTGGCCTGTCTCTTGGAAGACTGTTTGGGTTTAGCAAGTATCATATGTTAACAAATGTATACATCTTTACCAGATCCCTCTAGGAAGAATCAGCACAACATATCCATTCATTGTAGCATAAGATGATACTAGCAATGGGAAGAGTCTAGTTTGCAAACTTGAGGTTCACTGTGGTTTTGATGGGACTACCAATCAAGTGGTCACATAGCAACTTAGTAAAAGTCATAACAGTTGGTGGGTAGGGAAGTTTTATAGAAGACCTATACTTACAGCTTTATAATATCTTATAAAAACATATCATCTGGGCACAGTGGTTCATGCCTGTAATTCCAGAATGTCAGGAGGTGGAGGCGAGAGGATTGCCTGAGTCCAGGGGTTCAAGACCAGCCTAGGCAACTTGGCGAGACCTCATCTCTACAATAAATCAAAACATTAGCTGGGTGTGGTGGTGCACACCTCTGGGTCCAACTACTTGGAAAGCTAAGGTAGAAGGATCACCTGAGCCCAGCGGGTCGAGGCTGCGGTGGCCGTGAGCATGCCACTGTACTCCAGCCTGGGTGACACAGTGAGACTCTGACTCAAAAAAAAAAATACCAAACATATGTATTAGTGCAAATAATTTCAGTTTTTTTCTATGTACTCTTTCAATCCTTTAGCTTAAAATCAGTTAAGAGCCAAAGAACAGGCTGGGCACAATGGCTCATGCCTATAATCCCAGGACTTTGGGAGGCTGAGGTAAGAGGACAGCCTGATGAGTTTGAGACCAGACTGGACAACTTGGCGAGAACTCATCTCTACAATAAATCAAGAAAAATTAGCTGAGTGTGATGGCTCATGCCTGTAGTTCCAGCTACTTGGAAGACTGAGGCAGAAGGATCGCCTGAGCCCAGCAGGTGGAGGCTGTGGTGGCCGTGAGCATGCCCCAAACACTCCAGGCTAGGTTCCCACTTAAAAAAAAAAAAAGCGCTCAGCCTGTAATCCCGCGCCTTTGGGAGGCTGAGGTGAGTGGATTGCCTGAGCCCATGGGTTCGAGACCCGACCGGGCAACTTGGCGAGACCTCATCTCTACAATAAATCAAAAAATCAGCCGGGCATGGTAGCGCGCACTTGGAGTTCCAGCTCCTTGGAAGGCTGAGGCAGAAGGATCGCCAGAGCCCAATAGGTCGAGGCTGCGATGGCCGGGAGCGGCCACTGCACTCCAGTCTGGGTGACAGAGTGAGAGTCCAACTAAAAAAAGTTCCAGCTACTTGGAAGGCTGAGGCGGAAGGATCGCTGGAGCCCAGCAGGTCGAGGCTGCGGTGGCCGGGAGCGGACACTGCACTCCAATCTGGGTGACAGAGTGAGACTCCCACTCAAAAAAAAAAAAAAAAAAAAAAAAAAAGCACCAAAGAACAAAACAAACAGTAAGTATATGTACAAAAAAGATATTTCCAAGGTCACTGATAAATTCACTTACCAATTACTTGCAGAAATTCTGTATTGCTGATTTGTGAGTCACTGATGCTAAAGGTTTCCTCTTGTCTTACTTCTCCCAGCAAAAATCCTTCCTAAAATTAACATAAGAAAACAGTTGCAGGCTAAAAATAAAGATGATTATTAGTGAAATTAAGAGTAACTGAGGACATATGATTTTATAATAATTTTAACAATAACCCAAATTAGCTTGCCATGTAAACCACTATCCAATAAACCAACAAATAGACTAAAAGTAATCTGAGGCATATCTATTAATTGTTCAAAAAAAAGGATTCCATAACAAGATAAAAATATTATTCTAATTCCTTCAAGTTTTCACTGTTTCTTGAAGTAAAATTAAGTAAAGTGAGTTCATCACCTAAATCCTAAGTCTCATAATTAATATCAAAAAAACTCAGGAAGCAAAAATATTTCAAAGTTGTTTTCTTGAAACAGCACACAATTTATTTTACTGTTATAAAAACACTGCTAACAGTGAAAGAATAAAGAAGTTAACACAAAGATGAGTAAGTGCTTTTGGACAAGTTGGCGTTGGAAATTAGGATTTCAGCAAATAAATTACATTCACATGAAAATTATTTAAAATAAATGCAGAGGTTAATTTATATATACTTTTGGAGAACATCTGTCACCATAATAAATTCTGGATTACTTGGCATATTACCTACTGTTTGAGCACAAGCACAATGGTATATGGAGAACATATACCATAAACATCAAAATAACTTTCCTATAGAGAGGGTGAACCGATAAGCTGAAATCTCTCTTCCCAGGTCCTGCATGGATCCTTCCCTCATTCAGGTTTTGACTCACATGACATCTTATCAGAGAAAGAAACATAGTCTGACTAACATAACTGAAATAGCAACAGCTAGGTACTCTGTCCCCTTTACCCTGAGTCTTTTTCTTCTTACTCTGCTCACTATCCATATTACATATTACACTTTTATAAATAAATACATTTATTTATTATCCCCTGCTAAAATGTAAATGCGACGATAGCAGGCACTCTGGTTGTTCATTATTATCTCGGCACCTAGCAAAGTGCCTAAAACACAGTAGGTGCTCCGTAAACAGCGGTTGAATAAATTTGTTGAAATAATGACTTCGTACTATAATCCCTTCTATTCTAGAATGATCTGTCAAATTAATTAAAGAAGTTTCCCAGCTTAAAAACATTTGCTGTTTAAAGGAAGGAAGAGGGGAGAGACAGATGTTTATAACAGCCTAGTTTTTGTATGTGAGTTGGGGAGGGGGAGTATCCTAAAATACTAACTCATCACATACAGGGCATTTCTCAAATTTGGGAAATATACAGATTTCCTTAAAAAAATTCTCTCAGGGCCGGGATCGGTGGCTCAGCCTGTAATCCCGCGCTTTGGGAGGCTGAGGTGAGTGGATTGCCTGAGTCCATGGGTTCGAGACCCGACCGGGCAACTTGGCGAGACCTCATCTCTACAATAAATCAAAAAATCAGCCGGGCATGGTAGCGCGCACTTGGAGTTCCAGCTCCTTGGAAGGCTGAGGCAGAAGGATCGCCAGAGCCCAATAGGTCGAGGCTGCGATGGCCGGGAGCGGCCACTGCACTCCAGTCTGGGTGACAGAGTGAGAGTCCAACTAAAAAAAGTTCCAGCTACTTGGAAGGCTGAGGCGGAAGGATCGCTGGAGCCCAGCAGGTCGAGGCTGCGGTGGCCGGGAGCGGCCACTGCACTCCAATCTGGGTGACAGAGTGAGACTCCAACTCAAAAAAAAAAAAAAAAAAATCTCAGGCAGGATGCAGTGGCTTATATCTGTAATCCCAGCACTCTGGAAGGTGGAGGCTAGAGGATTGGCTAAGCCCAGGGCTTTGAGTTCTGCCTGGGCAAAGTCGCGAGACCTCGTCTCTATAATAAATTTTAAAAATTAGCTGGGTATGGTGGCACGCATCTGTAGTTCCAGCTACTTGGAAGGCTGAGGTAGAAGGATCACCTGTAGTCTAGCCTGGGCGACAGAGTGACTCCGACTCAAAAATAAAAAAATTATCTCAGACCCAAAGTCTAGTTTGAGAAAACACTGACTAAATAAGCATGCTTTACCCTCCTGAAGTCTTTCAATTAAGAGTTCTCACCACAAAAGAAGCTTTGTCTTGTAAAAAGAAAAAAAAAAAACTTCTTAAAAACCACAGTGAAAAAACGATATTCCCACAGAACTTTGCCCATATACGTGACTGGCAAATTTTTTGCTGTCATAATATTGAGAGCGGGTGAAAACAAAAACATCTGAATCTGGTTACCGCAAACTTCTGTTGTTAAGTACAAGTGAAATGGTCTTTTCTAAATTGTCACCTTTTTCACAATACAGCTGAAAGTTGCAGGCATATCCAGTATTTTCCTCAGATACCATTCTGACTAGCACTCCATACTTTGTATTTTTATTTTGATTATAATCCTGAAAAGACAGTCTTCCACGATGAGGTAAATAAACAACAGCAGCAACCAGGAAGATTTTGGAATGACGTAAATTCACATTAGCAATCGTGAATGTTTAAGAACATGGCTAGTTTCCTAGTGTTCTACAATCTAGAGCAGCCACATTTAGCAAAAAAAGATACAGGATGCCCAATTCAATTTGAATTTCAGATAAAAAAAAATAACAAATAATTCTTACATGTTTTGGAATATACTTATACTCTAAGTTATTTGCTATTTATCTAAAATTCAAATTTAACTGGGTATCTTATATTGTATTTGGTAACATCACAACAGTATTCAGTTTGAAAAATAATGATACACCTGGGTGCAGTGGCTCATGCCTGTAATCCCAGCACTTTGGGAGGTGGAGGCAAGAGGATTGAGACCAGCCTGGGCAACTTGGTGAGACCTCATCTCTACAATAAATCAAAAGATTAGCCAGGCATGGTAGTGCATGCCTGTGGTTCCAGCTACTTGGAAGGTTGAGGTGGAAGGATTGCCTGAGCCTAGCAGGTCGAGGCTTCAGAGGCCATGAGCGTGTCACTGCACTTCAACCTGGGCAACAGCGAGACTCTGAATCAAAAAAAAGAAAAATGATATAAATCAACAGTGACATCAAGACATTTTAGAGCCAAGCACAAAATAAATGTTGAGTTATCTAGTGGTCTGGATTAACTGAGCCACTGTTACTTTATAGCAGGACTAGGCAAACTATATTAGTGTGAGGGTGAAATCCTGTCCAATGCCTGTTAATGTATGGCCTTCAAGCTAAGAATGCTTTCTGCATTTTTTTTTTTTTTTTTGAGTTGGAGTCTCACTCTGTCGCCCAGACTGGAGTGCAGCGGCCGCTCCTGGCCACCGCAGCCTCGACCTACTGGGCTCCAGCGATCCTTCCGCCTCAGCCTCCCAAGTAGCTGGAACTAGAGGCGCGCGCTACCACACCCAGCTAATTTTTTATTTATTGTAGAAATGAGGTCTCGCCAAGTTGCCCTGGCGGGTCTCAAATCCACGGTTCAGGCAACCCACTCACCTTGGCCTCCCAAAGTGCTGGGGTTACAGGCTGAGCCACCGAGCCTGGCCTGCATTTTTGTTTTTATTTTTTTTGAGTTGGAGTCTCACTGTCACCCAGACTGGAGTGCAATGGCCACTCCCGGCCACCGCAGCCTCGACCTGCTGGGCTCTGGCGATCCTTCCGCCTCAGCCTTCCAAGTAGCTGGAACTATAGGCGCACGCTACCATGCCCGGCTAATTTTTGATTTATTGTAGAGATGAGGTCTTGTCAAGTTGCCCAGCGGGTCTCGAACCCGCAGGCTCAGGCGATCCACTCACCTCAGCCTCCCAAAGTGCTGGGGTTACAGGCTGAGCCACCGAGCCCGGCCTGCATTTTTAAATGGTTAAAAAATATAGAATTACTTCATGAAATGTGAAAATTACATGAAATTCAAATTTCAGTGTCTATAAGTAAAGTTTTTTTGGAACACAGTCACCTTCGTTCCTTTACTATCTACAGCTGCTTTCTTCACAACAGCAGAGTTGGGTATTTGCTACAGAGAACACATGGCTTGCAAAGCCTAAAAAATTTACTACCTGGCCCTTTATAGAAAACATTTGCTAACCTCAGCTCTATAGAATGAGTGGTTTTACATTAATTTCTTGCCTGGACAAAACAAGTACTACAAAAGTAAACTGTTGCTTCAACTTTAAAAAGGAAATTATTTTCAACTATGCCACATCTATAATTGTGACAATGTTACCATAAACAGAGAAACACAGTTGAAACTATCGGCATTGGCAAACATTTCCAGGAAGTCCAGCACCAGGCCTTGCACGCAGTAGATAATAAGATCTCTCTTGAAGTAAAGTAATAGCAATCTAAGTAATATGGCCATCTCACTGCAGTTTGGAGAAAAATCACCCATTTCTCAATAGGTAGATTCTCAGTCTTACAATGTTCTTGCCTTATACACTGCCTTATTAACTATATTACTAGGCACTCTAAAAAATAGATAGGGTAAAGAACGCATATTTAATAGTCCATGGGCATTAGGGGTATCACAAACCACTTACATATGGAATTACATTATCAAAGTAATGGCTGCTGCAGTACCACAGGCCATAGTGTCCAAAGCTGCCTCTGCAAAAAACCATGATGTATATATTGCTATCTTCAAGCTCTACCATCAACACTTAAGAGATTAAAGGTACAATAATTTAATTCCATCCAATTTACTAATGGAAATCACCTCCCTGTGCGATCAGTTTTTATTCATGGAAGCCAAAGACTGCTGACATAAAACCAAATCCAGTTCTTCATTCTGCAGTCTATCCTTCTGCTTTGAAGTAACAACCCTCCAAAAAACCCACCCATATATTTAATGAATTTGAGTCACTACTACCATCACCTAAAATAATCCCACAATTTGGCGGCCCAATTAAATTCCTCCCTACGCGAAAAAGTATCTAGTTTCGCAAATAATTTCCAACCAGAGGCCAGTGACGTTTAAAGACAACTCGTAAAATAAAGACGTTTGAAACAGGGAGGCTCCGCTCCGGCTGCTGGCTCCCAAGCCTAGGCATTTCTGATCCCTCGTTCGCGGGCCTGTCACTTCCCTATTTCAGACTAGTTCCGTGATCTTACAACCTTCGCCAAACGGCTAGACATGCAACTCTGAGGAATGCAAATAGACCTTGCCCCTCTCGCTCCTGTTTGCAATCTCCATTTTCCCATCGGGGCGAGGAAAACACACAACCGTGTCTAGCAGGGATGCACGGTGACAGCCGTGGTTTCGGTCGTCGCTCGCGCCCCGCGACCACCTGTGAGACCGGCGAGCGGGGCGGAGTGCCTCGCCTCCCAAACTAAAAGCCCGGGCTCTCCATTGCTCCCCGACCCTCCTAAGTTCAGAAGCCCGACTCTCGGGGAGGGGCAGGCGC